TTGTCGGTATTGTTTGTCAAGCTGCGGTTCGAGAACTATCAAAAAAATGTGGTGCTTAAAGGTTAGTGATGAAGATCTTATTATCAAAAAATTTGTAAAAAATGGTTTGTTAGTGAAATTCGATTCCCAGTGAAAAGCATTGTATAGGCTTACAAGTATGGAAAGCGCCATTTTGTTTGTTTACATTTGAAAACAGCTGAGATCACCTGATTTTCAATTCTCTCATTCTCCGCACAGAGTTACATTCAAGTTTCAGAAAAAACTTTAAAATGTAAACTGAGAAATATTTTAGAAAAATGTATTTTTATTCATTTGAATTCAATAAAAAAGAAATTAAAAATGCGTGCCAAGTCTTCCATTTCCAATAATAACGATAAATGTGTATGTTCCAGGCAATAATTTAAAATATTTGTGAAACTTATCGTTTTGCGCTAAAATACAACAATGTGTGTAAAATTCGTTGTCATTGCTTCTGTTTTGAATATCATATTCGTGCCTGCCGGTGGAAAAATTAGGTAAATTTGCATTTATTTTTAAGAAAACATATAAATTAATGTATATTTCTTTCCAGAGCGACATATTAGTGCATTGGTAAAGTGCTCTTATCATTCTGTTATAGTCAACTGCAGCCAATCTTCTTTGGACAATAAGTTGTATTGGTGGAGCAGTTTCCTGAGCTTTGGAAGTGTTTGGGCTTGTTCGAGTTGCAATTACAACTGTAGTGTTGCGTGAATAAAGCATCACGTTCGCTGTGAATTTGTAGCAACGTTTTACCAATTAGGATGTTGGAACCGTCTTGCAAATTTTCATCAGCGCTGCAGTTTTTGTGCTTTTATTGCGTGCCTCGAGCAGGCCCTTTATCAGTGAATAGTTGTGGTTGTTGTAGTAGTAGCCGCATTACGAAGCCCGGCCTCAGTCGGTTTTCCATCAACAACAACGACAATAATAACCTGTTTATGCATTCCTGTTTTATTGCATTCCCCTTTCCAAATTAATATTATACTATGTTTAAGGCTCGGTGAAATAAATGAAGCGCTACTGGAGGCAAATTAAAATATCTCCCTCAGCAAAAATGAGACTCTCGCTCATGATGAAAGCATGTTAATAGTTTATTCTTTGAAACATCACCGACATAGTCATATTCTAAAGGTATACATTGATATTTTTCATGTTTATAAATTTTAATTGCTATTTTTATTTGTTTACATATTTGACATTCACCACCAGCATCATCAACGCCATCACCAAATTCAATGCCATCAACACCATCAGCGGCTAGTAACAATGTATACCACAGATTTATGGCGAATTACAAGGAGGCAAAAAACATATACATATGTAGGAATTGTAAAATTCCTAAAATTTTGCAAAGTTTTAAGAAAACTGCATTTTCTTGCACCACTATAACTGACTTCCAATTGTTAATATATATCAAAAGAAAGCTAAAAGGATTACCTTTCCTTTGATTATAAAACCATTTAAATCGCTGGACATTTTTATGCAAATTTCGCAACTTTTGAAATCATCTCTATGTAAGCAGTGGAAAGGTTCTAAAATTTAGCAAAGTTGTAAGAAAACTGCATTTTCTTGAACCACTATAAATGATTTCCAATTGTTAATATATATCAAAAGAAAGATAAATCGATTACCTTTCTTTTAATTAAAATACCATTGAATTCGTTTAACATTTTTATGCAAATTTCGCAACTTTTGAAATCATCTATATGTAAGCAGTGGAAAAGTCCTCAAATTTTGTAGTTGTAAGAAAACTGAATTTTCGTAAACCACGATAAATGATTTCCAACTGTTAATATATATCAAAAGAATAGTAAATTGATTAATATATTATTATTATTATTATAGTTTAATATCTTTATACATAGATTTATTTAATATCCCGTTTTGTAGAATGGTTATGATGATGTCTTAGAAACGCTTGCCATAATTGATTATTAATAAAATAAAGGTTTATACTTTAAAAGGATTTTTTATTTCAAATGGATATTCTTTATTTTTTTTTAACTTATTGCTTTTCCACACCACCACTGAGGTTGCAATAAAGGCGCGTTACCGATTTTTTTTTTTTGGGTGTTCGGTTCCCCAGGAGGCCTATTTTCACCCATACTATCTACAAATACGAAGTGCATGCATATAAGAAAATCTAAGAAATATCAAAATTTACGAAATACGAAAAAACTACACAAATCTACTTGGAAAAAACGACTATGACTAATAATAAAATCTAAGAAATAGCAAAATCCACGAAATACAAAAAAACTACACAAATCTCCTTGGAAAAAACGACTATGACTAATAATACTACATACAAGAAAACTACTTTATACAAATTTATATACAATATTTACAAAATCACCCACAGTAAATCCCTTTCTATGAACTGTAATAGAGTATAGCAAAAAAATAAAAAAAATATTGCGACTGTAAATGTAAATGTGTTTTAATTGCGCTGAATTGATTGACAATTAATAAGGAAAATGTGAAAAAGCGGTGATTTTTCTGGAAGTATAAGTGAATTTCAGTACATTTAAAGTTTCTGATACGTCGTTTACTTTTAGATCAGAATTATCAAAATCGACAAATTCAAAGTAGGGGTATGTCTGACGGTGCCACCTTTGTTCGCTGCATCGTGCATATTGGGCAAATGACGTTTTTAAATGCATTTTACATACATACATATGTACCAGTTCAAGATGAAAAAAGAAACCAAAATTAGTAATTTTTTTATGAATGTAGTTAAAAAAGTTCACAGAGGAAATGCCGGTAATCAATCTATCGGCAATCACATAAAATTTATGTAGGGAAATTTAGATGTCAACAGAATAATAACTACAATAAAAACCACCACAGAAGTGTGAGAAGCAGGCAATTTTTCAATCTGAGCAAAAAATTCTTTAAATGCCGTTGTAAAAAGGTCAATACATTTCTTATAAAATAGTTTGATTTTTGATGGGTGGTATAACTCAGTGAAACGGTTATTAAAGAAAATAAAATTTTTAAAAGTAATAAATAGGAAAAAATGCACTAAAAATGTGAATTTAAATATTTTACCCAAATTCATAAAAAATTAAGAAATTGGTTTTTTTTATAAAAATGTCACTGTACAGAGCTATTTAAATCTATTTTATTTTTTATGAATAACGTCATTAGCATATACCGTTTTTATAAATGAATCTTGTAGCGTCGCGCTATATACATACATAGGTACATATATATATTTAGGCTGGCGAAATATGTACTTTTGCCAACTAATTAAAAAAGCGTATGATTCAATTTAACCACATTAAAAAAGTATTTAAATATTTTATGGCGCAACACAGCAACACTTTTTGTTTCACGAAACCCTTGAATACGAGCCTGTCATCTATTTCTTCTATTTCGACATTTCGCTATTTTACATTTCTTTCATTTAACGTCATTCGCATTGTCACATTTCTCAAATTCGTTTTTGCTTCGACATTCTGCTATTTCATAATTATTTCATTCTCATGTCATCCATCTTCCATTTCTTACCTTCCATTGCCGTTCGCATCGTCGAACGTGCCTGTCAAACACTGCCGCCATCATGCTTTTCAGTTTGGCAGGCACGTCCGCTGTTTGGCAGGCACGTCCGTTGTTAGAAAGAGAATAGACAAAAAGGGGCATAGGATTCCATACTTGTAAGTATATACGATGGTGAAAAGTTAAGTCTCATTCGGCGGTAAACTTGACATTTTTGAACTGAAAATCGAAGGGTAACTGCCGAACGAAGGTCAATTCGTTGCTGTGAAAACAGCCCGAAAATTGTCGTTAACTGGTTACAGAATGAAAAAAATAATGAAAATATGCTTGGATCATGATTCAATAATGAAAGGTTTTGTAAGAAAAACTTTCTCTCGCTCTAATTTTATCAATGACACTCCCACCATACTCCTAAAAACAAAAACAGTGATATTTCTTTTCCAAATATCTTTGCAAGTTTTAAGAACATTTTTAAATTGTTAGTAGTGAAATTTTTACTTTTTAAATTTGAAGAAATGTTTGTTCTTTATTCGCTGGCGCCAACAAGACAAAATGTGTGAGCATCGTTGGACTACAGAAATTCAATGTAGGCTAAAGAGACGAAATTCTCTTAAATGCCGAAATATATTTGTCGATATTCGTGGAGACCTCTTGATTCTGCCAAGTCGCTGTAAAGTAAAGCATGCAATGGTTTTGGTAAATGAACCAACGAAGGTATTTAGGTATTGTCCTCCACAACACACTCCTGGTGTCTCCGAATGAGGCTTTGACGCAATATAATATTGCCAAACCGCATCCATAGGCCCAATCGTCACACGACAGCTCGGTTTAGTCAATGGCGCGATGTATGTAATTGCACACTTAAAAGGTTTACGCACGAGGCGAATGTTGGCTGGCGACCAACTTTGTTGAAAGCGATTAGTTGAAAGTAGAATGCAAAGTTGAACAATGCAAACGCCTTTTTATGGCGAATATTTTTATATTTTTTTATATTTTGATATTTTTAATCATTCAAATTTTTTTTTCGGGCAACCCGGCGAATGGTTAATATTCTGTATATTGTTGTATAGTCTCCTCAGAATATTAAAAGTGCGACATCAAAGAATTCGAATTACCATATTCGAAACAATCGAGCCATATCCGCGAAGGAAACGTAAGCTCCAAATTTTTTTATTTGCCGTTTTTTTTTTGTTTAATAAATACTGCATATTTTCCACAAACAAATAGCTTCTTCATATCCATCATCTGTCAAACAAATACAACAAAAAAAAAGCTGAAAGTGGACCATCCATTCTCGAGTTATGCGCCATCTGACGTACGCAAGTTTGGTATATACATAGAAATATTTATTTTCAATAACAATCGGGGGTTATGTTCGATGTAAATAAGCTTGTTTAAATTAAATAATTAAATCAAATTCGTTTTTGTTTTAAAATACCACCATTCACTATTATCCACACCTTTTTATGGAATTTAGCTCCCATTTTAGGAAGTGTGATTGAATTCTTCCCCCTTTTCCCCTGCTTCCATAAACCATCCCTGTGGGTGGGAGTGCCAAATTTTAGAAAAAAGCTACTTACAAAACCTTTAATAATTAAATCATGTGCTTGGATATTGAAAAATAAATAATTAAAAAAACACCAAAAAAAATTTAATCATCTGCCGGTTTTCAAACAAAAAATCTAATCTCGAATCATGATTCAATAATGAAAGGTTTTGTAAGAAAAACTTTCTCTCGCTC